GCCCCGGGGCTCGCCCCCTGAACGCGAGCGGAGGGGGAGGGGGAGAGGGAGGGGCGGAGCCCGCCGCCTTCCCCCTGCCTTCGAGTTGCGCTGAGGAGTTAAGCCAAGGGGGGTCGGGTGCCCAGGGGGCCCTCGCCGCTCCAGGGAGGCCCCCCGTGCGGGCACGACGTAATCCAGAGACCGACTTTGGAGCGGGGGTTGCACGGAATGAGCGGTGGCGGCATTCGCACGACCTGCCTCCGCCGGGGGGCAAAGGACCAGTCCGGGCCCGTGCGATGCGTGCAAGTGCACGCTTGAGGGCGGGTCTGGGGTCGCTCAGCAGGCGGAGAGACAAGCGAACCAAGGCTGACTGTAACCAAGTTCAGCACACAGTGCCAGTGCGTCTGCCAGGTTTTTGTCTCATGGGGTCAGTTGTGTTGTGTGAACCCCATCGGCTGCTTTGCAGAACCCCTTCTCTCCTGTTTGGTAAAATCCAAACCGCGCTGCCCAGGCCTGTGTTCCCTTCCTTGTTTGTTCAGCTCATACCCACTAAAAACCGAGCTCAAGGTGGCCCACGTTGCCTGCCCACCTTACCTGTTGATCTAGTAACTTTCCAGGACATTCTAACATTGCATGTAATAATATCGAAACCACTTTTTCAACTAAGATTGGCTGGGGATCTTGAGAATGACGGTCCCACAGGCCTAGAGGGAAGGCTAACAGGAGGGTCTGACCTTAGTGGGTTCGTCTGCTAAACCCTAACCTGATCTCCCTCCCTCGGTGTTCACCAGGCTGCGGGCCCCAAATGAACCTTTAAAGGATCCTTTAAATTAAAATAAACCGGTTTCCTGCAAAGCACCACCTCTAACTCTTGTCTGTTTGCAACAAGGCCCCACAGCCGTCTCACTGGGGTCACAGAGACCTAGATTATTTATTTATTTATTTATTTATTAGACTTATATCCCACTTTTCGTTCAGGAGATCGGGTGGCCTATTTAGTGCTCCCTCTTCTTAGTTTTCCACCCAACAACAACAACCCTGTGAGGTGCGTTGGGCTAAACAAGCGACTGGCCCAAGATGACCCAGTAGATTTCTGTGGCGGAGGGTGGATGTGGGCTTGGGTCTTCTGCATTTCAGCCTAACATCTTCCATACATCACCCTGCTGGGTGCTCTTATACAGTGGTACCTCTAGTTACGGCCCCTCCTTACGAATTTTTCAAGATACGACCAGCTCCGGCCCCAAAATTTTACCTCTACTTGCGAACTCCGCTTCGAGTTACGAACCGGATCCGCGGCCATTTTCCCTGCTGC